CTGGCACCCCCATGATGCGAATGTTGGTATGCTTGAAATTGTCCCAGAGGCTCCTTACACTATCCTCATTTTTTATTTTTTTATTTTTCTGATTGGGTTATTCTGATTGAGTGGTTTTTGTTTTTGCTTCCTTCTGTTCCAAATTGTTTGCTTCTTGGCTTCAGTACTCTACTATTTATTCCCTGTAAATTATTCTTTATTTCAGTTAGTGTATCTTTAATTTCTGACTGGTCTTTTTTTATGCTCTTGAGGTTCTTACTAAGTTCCTTGAAGTTCTTTGAAGTTCTCATTAAGTTCTTTGAGCATCCTTACAACCAGTGTTTTGAACTCTGCATCTATTAGATGGCTTATCTCCATTTCATTTAGTTCTTTTTCTGGAATTTTGTTGTTCTTTCATTTGGGACATGTTTTTTTGTCTCCTCATTTTGGCTGCTTCTCTGTGTTTGTTTCTATGTATTGGGTAGAGTTGCTATGTCTCCTAGGCTTCCTAGGGTGGCCTATTGTAGTAGGTGTCCTGTAGGTCCAGGGGCACAGCCTCCCTGATCACTCCAGCTGGGCCCTCAAGGTGCACCCCTCATATGGACTGTCCATCTTTCTGTTGTAATTGAGTCTTGATTGCTGTTGGCACACCAGTGGGATGGATTTACTCAGGCTGATCAGCTGCAAGGACTGGCTGTGTCCACTGACCATTGACTTCTGACTACCTTGGAGAATCAGCTGTGCAGGGGCCCAACTCATAGAGCAAGACTCACTTCAGCAGGACTCTGGTACCCACTGAGTCCATTCCTTGAGTGTGTCACTTGTGGAGGTGGTTGAGTGGTGATACTTCAACATGGTCTGAAGCTGTTCACTGGGTGTGCTGGCTCTGGGGCAAGGTCGGCTACTGCCTGTGTTCGATCCAGGGCCACCAGGCATAAGCTACAGTGTGATCTACAGATGGCTGCTTCTTGTGCTGGGCTTGGAGTTGCCCAGGCAAAGCCAAGCTGTGAACCAAGGTTGGCTGCTTCTAGTGCCAGGCTTGGTGCCATTTAGAGAGAGGGATAGGGCTCCCTGAAGCCAGATGCTGCCTGTTTGAGAGAACTTAGGAAAATATGAAGCAGGAGCCAAGACAGGCCATTCCTATGGTAAAGCCGCGGGAAACAGCCTGGGTGGGGCTGAAAGATGGGTGGAGCAGGGCTTCAGGGAATCACCAGGGTAAGGCAAAGAGTGTGAGCCAGGTTTCTGGAGCCCAAGATATGGTGCCCCTCTGCCTGCCCCATGGGGGAAGGGCTCACTAAAGGAATGATGGTCTCTACCAGCACGTCTGTCCAGGATAAAGCTGCCTCTCCAGCTCTCTCCCCGATGCCAAATGATTCTTCCCCGTATGTCTCTGGTGCCTTTCAAGCTGTCTCTCCCACACTGAAGCCTGGAGGGAGCGAGTCTGAGTAAGTCTGTGCATGGGCCCTTTAAGAAGAACTGCCTGGAACTCCTGCAGCCTCAGAGTCCCTCAGGCTCAATTCCTGCTGGTTTTTACAGCCAGAAGTTATGAGGACTTTTGTTCTTGGCACTGGAACCCTGAGCTGGTGGACCTGGCATGGGACCCCTTGCTCCTTTGGGAGGACCTTCACAGCTGAGATATCCCTGCTGATTCTTATCCACCACATATGGTTGTGGGACCAGCTCATCTGTGCCTCCTCCCCTCCTACCAGTCTCCGGACCGCAGGCCGACGCTCTAACCGCTGAGCCAAACCGGCCAGGGCCTACTAGTCTCAATGTAGCTGCTTCTTTAATTTTGTAGTTGTAGGACTTTCATTCAACTCAATTTCAGGTAGTTCTGAATAATGGTTGTTCTGTAGTTTACTTGTCATTTTGATGTGGTTGTGGGAGGAGGCGAGCACTGCATTTACCTACACTGCCATCTTGACCAAAGTCCCTTCGGGAATAGTTCCTTTTGTCCTGTGTTTGAACATGCCTATCCCTCTAACCTTAACACACACACACACACACACACACACACACACACACGGACATGAAGACACTTGAGCATTTGAGTTCTTGGTTCTGATACATCTGGGTATTTCATGAAGAGTGTCCTAAAATCTTTGACCAAGTCCTTCTTTATGCTAAGTGCAGTCAGGGATGGTTTTCAGTTACTCCAATCGAAAGTGCTCTAATCAACGACTGACAATCACTGTCATATTATTGCTAATATACCATAATAAATACCTACTGAGATTCAAACCTGATAGATATCTCAATTCTCAAAATAGTGTAGATATGTTTCCGATCTCCTGCAAAAAGTGGTTAATTTGGTATATTATTTTTCTGAAATTTTCCAAATACATATTTATGCTAAATACTTAAGACACACTGAAGATAAATAGATTTGTATAATAAATTTCTATTGATCTGGCTTTGAAACAAGAGATTTTAAATTACAAAATTTTTCCTCCACTCCATATGGAAATAAATGAAATAAGATGTGGCAACTAAGGGAACTATTCTAACTCCTTTGGGATATACTGCAGGGTCCATATCAACACCTTCAATATTATGTATATTTCAGTGCCTGACTCATCAAAGCAGTATTAAGAATAGCTTGACCTTGTTTTGCAGTGTATTTCAGTCTACTATAATTCTATGGGTATAACTTATTTATAATTCATGTACGAGCATCATGGTAATAATAGCTAATACTTTTAAGCCCCTACCATGTAGTAGGCAGACACTCTTGTATAGTCTGACATTAACTCCTTCAACCCTCACAACAATTTTATCCGGTAGATCCTGTTGTTATCCCCATTTACAGATATCAGAGAGGTCAAGTAATTTGTCTCAGGTCACACAACCAGTAAGAGGTGAAGCTATGGACAGAATAGGGCAGAGTCCATATCTTTTAGGTAACTAAGGTAATTTATCATAGTAGCTCTCAGGTAACTAGCATATTCAATTAACAGGACATTCCACTTCTCAAGTCCTTTGGAGGGGATTTTATTGAACTACTTATTTACAAATTGTTTGGATTTGTAAAATATGTACAGTATTGGGTATCAGTGAGACAGAGATCTATGCCGGAAAATTTCCTTTTATTATGATAGCTTGGGTCCCCAAGCAAGCAACATGGTGTATCTCCTCATTCCGGAGACAGAGCCTCTACCAGGCTGTGCTCATTTCCTTATAGTGAGAGCAAGTCTTTCAGAGGCCTTCCATCTCTCATAGGGAAAAATCAGAAACCTTCTTGGGTCACAGGCCCCGCCCATCTCACCACTCTCCACTGGGGCCTTAAATTTGCTTCAGCCACTCTGGCCTTACATTTCTCTCATTGCAAAGACCTTTAGATAACACACTCTCTCTGGCTGGTACATCCACTTACTTCATCTGTGTCACCTAGCCAAACATCTCTCCCTGACACACAGACCAGGTTTGATTCCCTTCTTAAAATTTCTCATAGCATCTTGTACTTCTTTCTTATAGTATGGTAACAGAAAAATTGTGTAATGTCTGTCTTGCTGGCTCTAAGTGTAAACTCCATGTGGGCAGCGACTGTGTTTATCTTGTTTGTTGCTAAATCCCCACAGCTTAGCACATACTTGGCACCAAAAAAATATTTGTAAACTGAGAGGAAGAAAGAATGACCAGCTAAAGAGGACATAAATACTCCAGTCTCCGTGGCATTGACTAGACCTGCTGAGTGGGGAAGAAGGCCCGCCCAGGCAGAGAGAGAATGCTGGGCCTGCTTGACAGAGTGATTAGCAACCAAAGGATAAATGAATATATCCATGTAATTTTTTTCCTTTACAATCTTTAAGTGATTAGGAAATGGTTGGGGTAAAATTATGATTCTGTGAGTAACAAAATATAGTCCAACTTTAATAGTGCTAAACTCTTGGTCAAAGAAATGTCAACTCAGAACACTGAGAGCCAAAGCGAAAGAAGCATATTGGTGTTGACGATGAGTCATTCTACCAAGTGTGCTTCTATGATTATCGTTGTTCACCTTTAGTTGCAACCCTTTTATTTTTATTTTTTTATCTTTATTTTTGCAACTGTTTTATCATCTCTTTCCTGATTCCTCGAAACAATCTTATGCAGAGATCTGGTCCCCACGGCCTGGGCAATGAAGAAATGTTTCCTCTTTCAAAGACTCTATTTTTTTTGGACGATAAGAATTGCTAAAGAGGAAGCAATCAAACCTATCGGGAGGGCACTGTCCTCCACCCAGAACGCTGCTTCCTGGTTTTAAGACGCTTTCAGATCCTCCGGTGAATTGACTTCAATAACACTGGACTGTCATTCATTTTTTGAGATCACGTCTCTCCATCTGTTCACTTTAAGACACCACACTAAAATCGATCGTGGGAAGTCAGTTCGTTCCTCCCAACAAGGAACCACAGTCTGCAGTGTTCACCAAGGTGACATCAACACTAATCCCACGTTGGGACAATTTCGCTTCATTCATTTTCCAACAAATCCGCAGTGGCCTTTACTGCCGGGGTCCAGGACTTCTCTCCAGGCTCCCTCCGAGGGGCGCGGGTCAGGCGTTGGCAGGGCGCCCCACGTCCCGGGATAGGAGTCTGGTGGGTCGTCTGGGAAAACTGTCGGGGTGAGGGACTCCTAGAGGGGGCTGCGGAGGACGTGGTGAAACCAAAACAGAACTCTGTGTTCCAGTCACCTCAGGACACTGCGCTTTCCAGAGACAATGCTGCCTTCACAAAGCTACGCTTCTCCAACTTCCACGGAACCTTTCTCACGGCGACGGACCTACAGCTCCTGGCCGCCGCCCCGCGGGAGCTCCCGAGGGGCGGCGCCCTCGGCGACCGTCTGCTCCCACCACGCCCGCCAGGCCCTCCGCGCCGGGGCCAACTCCTCCGCCACGTGCCCGCCTCCCGCAGCCAGGCCGCTCGCGATTGGCTGGTAGTGCTGCCCGTTGCGAGGGGAGGGCGCGTCACCCGCAGGTCGGCGCTCCCATTGGTCGTGCGGCGGCGGTAGCGCGCGTGGCCGGGCGAGGACGGGAAGCCGGTGGCTGCGGAACGGGCGGAGGCTGCGGGTTTCGTAACCGTCGCTCCTCCTCGCTGCGAGGCCTGGGCTGAGTCGGGCCGCGCCGCGCGGGGCCGCTCGGAGTGGAGGCCGCCTGGGGGCAGGCGGGCTGGAGGCGCAGGTAAGGAGGCCGCGGACGGGCTGGAGGAGAAGGAGGAGGCCGCAGAGGAGCCGGCCGCTCGCGTGGGCGCGGGCCCAGCCGGAGGAGACCAGGCGCGGCCCGCGGCGGCGGGCTGGCCGGGAAGGCCCCGCGCAGCCGGCGTCGCGGGCGGCGGCCCCGCGCGGCGTCTGATGCAACCTGTCGGCAACACCCGGCGGGGCCGCTGAGCTCATCCTGGCCGCCGCCCAGCCGCCCGGCGCCACCCGCCGACCCCCGCGCTCTCCCGGGCGTCCCTCGCCGCCGGCCCGGGACGGAGGACCAGATGCGCCCCCTCCAGAACCCAGCTCTCTGCGAAATGTGCGATGGTGACAAGCCTGGCTCGTATTGGCCCCTGGGGATAAAGGGTGTTCCCAGGATAGCAGGCGGCGGACTGTGTGTTATTTTAGTGCCACATAGGATATTTCCTGCTCCTCCAACACTGCTCCGTGGGGGCTCGTCGAGAATTCTGTTCGGAAGTCAATAGAGTGGTCAAGTAGCCTGGGAAAGCGGTCGATCTGTACGTCGTGACTTTACAGAAACATGATTGTGGAGCTATAGCCTGAATACCTTGCAGTTGGCTGTGGAACGAAAGTGCAGCCACCACGAGTTGAATAGAAAAGGGCAAGAAATGAAGCGCTTCGTTGGCACCGGGGAGGGAGCACAGTGGGAAGCCGGCTGGCAGGGGGGGTCTCAGATGGAGAGGATGGGATTGCAGACTTGAGGGGAAGGATGATCCGCTCCTCTGAGTAAGCTTGTGTGTGTTTCTTCAGAAGGTTGAAGTGTTTGGTTTTCCTCTTGTCTGAGGTTTACCTTGAATCTGGCATCTTAAAATGTGTCCATTTCAGAAAGGTTTTAACATTAGGGGCAGCTGCTAAAATGGGTCGTTTTGTCTCTGAGCCTACACTCAGTTGAATCCTCACACGAAGAGCTTGTCCCTTAATTCAGATAGGATATGCGGCTCCCCAACAAGGTTTTGGAATAAGATACTCTAAGGGCTTGCTTTCCTAAGAAAGTCTGCATCCAAGTTTTTTGGTAGTTAAAAGTTAAAATCTGGTCAGCTATTACCACTTGAGTGGTATTTGGGATAAGCTATTTCTTAAAGTTGATTTCCTTGTTTCTGGAAGAACTTAACTGTAAATGAGGTTAAATAATTACAGGATGCTAATGAGATGGAGAATTTTTCAATTTCTTGATTTTCGGCTTCTGGTGGGCATACTTGGCTGATGCAGCCATTTGTAATACCTGCCTTAAAAAAAAGCATGGAAACAAAACTTCACCTCTCCTCCCCCCTAATATCTTTTAAATTCACAAGAGCACATTAGCAAGGTTATCTGATCCTGGAGAGGTGGTTCCTCCCTGGGGATTTAAACAGCATAGGGTGCTTGGTAAAGACAAGTAGGACCTCATGGGGGCTGGATTTGGATTTATGGTCTAAGATTGCCTCATCTGGTCACAGTGATGATAAATGCAGGTAGCCACAATTCCAGATTTGTTGCATATTCTTGAGAGAGGATGCCTTCATGGGTTCTTGTACTGATATCTTGTACTAGTAGGTAATATACATTGATAATATACAAGATAATATACATTTTTCAGGCTTTCCAGCCCTATCAATAAAAAAAAAACAAAAACATTGCGCATGATCTCCTAATAGATGTGTATTTATCAACAATGTGTGTATACCGTTTTTTGTGTGTCAGACCAAAAGTGGATTTTAAAATTACATTTAAAAAAGACTAATGAACATAAATTTTCTTCTCATATTTATGTACTCCCTGAAGGGACGTGCCCTCCTCATGGACCCCTGTTTTGGGTCATGAAGCAAGCAGTACAACTAAATAGAAATAACTGCTTATTTGGGTGTCTGTTGACTTTGACTGCTTACTGTCACTTCATCTGAAGTACAGAGTTGTCACACTCTGGCAACACTTGCCTAAAAACTTGAGGTTATTAATTGGAAAACAGTGAGACTAAGTAGAAAATAAAAGTACTTAAATGAAGCGAAGACCAGACAAGAGGTCACTGTATAGACTGGGGATTTGAATAGACTGGGCATTTGAGGTAGCAAACAAGATCAAATCCAAGGTATTAACCTTACACTTTTATTTATTTATTTTATTTTTAAATCCTCACCCAAGGATATTTTTCTTTTTATCTTCAGATAGAGCGGGAAAGGGAGGGAGAGAGAGAGAGGAAGAAAGAGAAACATTGATGTGAGAGACACATTGATTGGCTGCCTCCTGCACAGTCCTAACCAGGGCTGAGGATCAAACCACAACCGAGGTACGTGCCCTTGACCAGAATTGAACCTACAACTCTGGTCCGCAGGTTGACGCTCTAATCACTGAACCAAACTGGCCAGGGCATTAATCCTACACTTTTTGTTGTTGTTGTTGTTGTTAATCCTCGTCTGAGGACATTTTTGCGTTTATCTTCAGATAGAGCGGGAGGGAGGGAGAGAGAGAGAGAGAGAGAGAGAGAGAAACATGGACGTGAGAGAGACACATCAACTGGTTGCTACCCACACGACCCCAACCGGGGCTGAGGACAAACTGCATCCGAAGTACATGCCCTTAGCACGAACCAAACCCAGGACTCTCTGGTCCTTGTGTCGATACTCTAACCACTGAGCCAAACTGGCCAGGGCAACCCTACACTTTTAAGAAAGGTCCTGAACTTTTGGTAGTAAGACCATGGTATCTTAGTAATATTCCTGATTTAATCGCGGTTGTTTTAAGAGATTTTAATGCTAGAGTGTCTCATTTTTATATGTTTATAAAAATGTTTTCCCTTAGTCTTTTGAGCCTGTATTCAACAAGTATTTCTTGAGCACCACCACTATCTATGCTGGACTATATGCTGGACATGGGGAGGTGAAGACAGAGTCCTGCCTCTAGGTCTCTGAGTTAGTCTATAGCAGTGGTTCTCAACCTTCCTAATGCCACGACCCTTTAATACAGTTCCTCATGTTGTGGTGACCCCCAACCATAAAATTATTTTTGTTGCCACTTCATAACTGTAATTTTGCTACTGTTATGAATCACCATTGGAAATATGTGTTTTCCGATGGTTTTAGGCGACCCCTGTGAAAGGGTAGTTCGACCCCCAAAGGGGTCGTGACCCACAGGCTGAGAACCGCTGGTCTATAGGGAGACACACTGTAGAGCTGGGTGGGGAACAAATTGGACAGAAGCACGAGGAAAAGGGAAGGCACCAACTGATTAGAAGGCTGATGGTGGTTTGGTATTGCTGAGGTGGGAAGTGTAAGGGAGCAGGAGCTAGCGGGAGGGTTTATACCTTGGATTTGATCCTGTTTGGGGAGCCACAGAAGAATTTTCAACAAGAGGGTGTGACACGCGCACACTCATGTTTGAGTGTCAGATTGCTCTGGAGACAGTGGTTGGAGGGAACACTGCTAAACCAGAGGAGACTAGTACCCCTGAGAGATGATGTCAGCCTGAGATGATGTCAGCCCGAGGTAATTCTGTGGCATTGGGATGGAGAGAGATGGTGGATATAAAGTTTTTTCCAGGTTGAGTGTAGGATTGTCACATATCCGTGATCGAACAGATTTGGAGCAAGGGAGAAACATCTGTAAATATTTTGGAGTGTAGACCTTCACTGAGGAAATTTGAGTGAAAAATTTATTTTGGGGGCCCTGGCTGGTTTGGCTCAGTGGTTAGAGCGTCGGCCTGCGGTCCAGAGAGACCCTGGTTTGGTTCCCGCCGAGGGCATGTACCTCGGTTGCAGTTTGTCCCCGGCCCTGGTTGGGTCATGTGGGTGGCAACCACACTATGTGTCCCTTTCACGTCGATGTTTCTCTCTCTCTCTTCCTCTATCTGAACAAAAAAAAAGAAAAAATGTCCTCAGGTGAGGATTAAAAAAAGAAGTTATTTTGGGGACCAGGGAGGAAAATCTTGTTGTACATTTGTGGGGGGAAAATGACAGAGTTAGGAAAATTCTTTATTTCCCCAAATGAAAAAATTGGGTTTTTGTTCTACTCATTCTAACATTCTGAGTTTTTAGTGTGTTACTGATTTGAATGACCATTATTTGAATTAAGAAATTTGAATTTAAAAGTTGCCCACTGAGCCCGGCCAGTATGGCTCAGTGGTTGAGCGTTGACCCATGCACCAGGAGGTTGCTGGTTCGATCCGCGGTCAGGGCACATGCCTAGGTTATTTGCCTGATCCCCAGTGGGGGGTGTGCAGGAGGCGTCTAATTGATGTTCTTTCTCATCGATATTTCTATCTCTCCCTCTTCCTCTCTCTAAAAATCAATAAAGAAAAAAAAGTTACCCACTCAGTCTGTTTTTTTAAAGATTGTTTTTTGCAGTAGTGGCTTTCACACTTCAGTGTCATCAGAATCGCTTGACGGTCTATTAAAACAAGACTGCTCAGCCTTATTTCTAGAGCTCCCGATTCCTAGATCTGGGGCAGCCTGAGAATTTGTAATTATAACATGTTCCCAGATGATGATGTCGCTGGTCCAAGGACCACACTTTGAGTGCTACTGCTCTTCAGTTTTTCTACTGCTTCTTGCTTGAATGATTCACATCAAGGAAACAAGGCGCCACCCTGCTTCCTGGAGACTGAACTTTGGAATAGTGTTTGTCCACAGAGGAGCCAGGATTTCATTTAGGGTTGAATATCCAGATTTGAAATAAACTTATTTTTTCGGCCATTATAGGTGCTCAAATATTTGTGGAACAAAAGCACAGATGACAGTGTAAACTGTAAAATGTGTAAATTTCAGAGTGAGCTATTTGCTCAGTATAAAAATAAAATCGACAATCTGCTGAGAGTTAAGTCTTTAAGACCATTTGGCTCTTTGACTTCCTTTACTTGGTTAATTTTCCTTAACAGATATCTCTTCACTTTATTTATTTATTTACTTGATTGGTTGATTATTTATTTATTTATTTATTTTGTGGTACGTGCCCCTAGCGGGAACCAAACCCAGGGCTCTCTGGTCCGCAGGCTGATGCTCAACCGCTAAGCCAAACTGGCCAGGGCAATATCTCTTTACTTTAAGAGTTTCTTCTTTTTTGTTGTTGTTTTTTTTTGTTGTTGTTGTTAATTCTCACCATAGGATATTTTTTCCACTGATTTTTAGAGAGAGTGGAGGGGGGGGTGAGGGAGGGAGAGGGAGAGAAACATTGATGTGAGAGACACAGTAATTGGTTGCCTCCCACACGACCCTGACTGGGGCGAAGGATCAAACCTGCAACCCAGGTATGTGCCCTTGACTGGGGATAGAACCCAGTGCTTTAACCACTGAGCTACACTGGTCAGGGCTAAGAACTACTTTCTTGGCTTGTCTTTGGCTGAAGGACTTAAAAAAATTTTTTTTTTGGAGTTCTTTTTATTATCTCCAAGTTTCCCTTTCTTACAGTTTCACCAGTTTGTTTTTCAAGCCAAAGGACTCATTTTCAAAACCTCACCTACTAGGTTCAGCCTAGTACTATGCTTGGCAAGATAAGTCAGACTCAGGTCAAAGAGCCCTTCGCTATCTTTGGGTACAGAGATGGGCATGAATATCATTGAGTTTGGAGCCTTTAAATAGAGTTTTTAGTAACTGCAGTTCATAGTGTATTGACAGTTGGAAGCCATTCTGCATCCTCCATTGTTATTGCTGAGTTGACTGTAGAGATTAGCCTTAAATACTAAAAATATAAGTGGTATATGAAAAATAAAAAAGAAGATAAGATGAACATGATTGTAATTGTTGAGAGAATCCCCGGAGAGGTGTTAAATGAGTTCTTAAAAATTGAGTAAAACACTTATGTTCACTTTCTACCAAATAGATAATTATCTGGGGAAATTGTGAAGTGTCCATTACAGAAGGTAGACTTGTAGTAGATATCCATCATGGTTTGGAAGGGAGCTTTCTATCTTGCTGTAGTACTGGAGCGAAATAGATGACCCACTAGCTCAAGGCTGCCTGTGTGGCTTTAAAAACAGTCAAAAGTGATGATCTATGGACTTTAAAAATGTTTTGGTTATAAAATGATCTTTTTTTTTTTTATCCTCACCCGAGGACATTTTTCCATTTTTTGTTCAGATAGAGTGGGAGGGTGGGAGGGAGGGAGGGAGGGTAGAAGGGAGGGAGGGAGGGAGGGAGGGAGAGAGAGAGAGAGAGAGAGAGAGAGAGAGAGAAAGAAACATCGACGTGAAAGGGACACATCGAGTGGCTGCACCCACACAATCCAACCAGGGCTGGGGACAAACTGCAACCGAGGTATGTGCCCTTAGCGGGAACTGAACCCGGGTCTCTCTGGACTGCAGGCCGATGCTCTAACCACTGAGCAAAACTGGCCAGGGCATAAAATGATCTTTAATTGAAATGTTTTCCTTTGTAGTTCTTTATTTTATTAATTTGAGAGAGAGAGAGGGAGGAGGAGGCAACAGAGAGAAACGTTGATTCATTGTTCCACTTATTTATGCATTCATTGGTTGATTCTTGTATGTGCCTGGACTGGGGTTGGAACCCGCAACCTTGATGTATCAGGATGACGCTCATCCTGGCCAGGGCCTTCCTTTGTGGTTCTTAACTAGCTGGGCATTCCACTGCACCACTGTCGATGTCACCTGTGATGTCATGAGGGTGTCAGCCATCAACTTTGCAGCCTACAGACTGGGCAGTCCCCAGGATCTCTAATGGTTCTGCAGAGTTCTCTATCTACAGACTGGTGCTGTATCTGTCAGGCAGTGTTGACAGTCTCATCAAAAGTGGTATTTCCACTGTGTTTAATGTTTATTTGGTTCTTTTTGTCTCTTGGTGGTTCTCTGAGGGCTCTGATGATCAGGGCAGATGCAGAAGGTACTACTCTGGGCCTCTGTTCTGAATGGTCTGTTTCATTGTAATCCTCAGACCCTTCCAATCACTGTTTGCTTTGACATGCTATCACCAACCTATTTTGTAGATAGACACAGGAAGTCGATTTTGGGGGCCAGGGCAGACATGGCACTGACTTCTCCACCTGTGCAACTCAAGTATAGGACTGATCTTGGGGTAGAACTTCAGCGGCATAGGGGAGGTGGCTGGTGTTGGATGAATCCCTGTTTGGAATGACTAAAGAAAGTTGTGCTTAGGCCTCCTCCGAGCCGAAAATTGAAAGGGTATATGGACTTTCTAAAAGCAAAATTTTAGCCCTGGCTGGTTTGACTCAGCGGTTAGAGCGTTGACCCGCGGATCAATGAGTTGCGGGTTCAATTCTGGCCAAGGGCACGTACCTTGGTTACAGTTTGTCCCCCCTCCCCCCCTTCTTTCCCTCCCATCTGTCTGACGATAAATGGAAAAATATCCTCAGGTGAGAATAAATAAAATAAAAGCAAAATTGTAAAAAGCAGACATGTAAACAATGTTTTTATACAGAAATGCTTGGCTAAAGATTTGGGTGAAGCTACTGGTGTTTACTAACTCAGCTTTTCTGAAGAACTGTGAGATATACTCATTTGAAACATTTCTTAATTCTGGCTCCAGATTTTTTCGACGATACAGTTTTAGCAGTTTTGTGAAGAGAACAGCATAGTTTTATGGTTCATAACACTAAATTTTTAAGAATGCCCTGACTTGGTGGACATGGCTCACTCAGCTTAGCCAGTTTGTGTTGGAGTGGCTTTATGGTGATGGATAGGTATGTGTTTGACACATCTTGAGGCAGTTACAGCGACCTAGTTTAGTTTATAGTAATCCAAATATGACTGGTTTTGAAGCCATGACTTTGTTTGTGCAGGCAGCACTGCAGTTGTCTCGGAACCGGGGTGTCCTCTGAGCCCCTGCCCTGCGGCCGTGCAGGGGCTGCAGGCCCTGCAGCTGCTCCGGCTCCATCTCCCCGAGTCCCAGTACTTGCACTTCCTGGATGCATCATTAGGGCTTTTGTTTCTTTTCTTGCGGTTTTAGTTTGACTATGTTTAGATGTGTTTTTTAATTATGTCAAGAAGAAAATAAAACTGTTAGAAGCATGGTGGAATGAGGAAACGTATTGGGAGTCTCAGCCCTCCTAAATCTGATTCAAGAAACTAATTTAGAAAGTCTCTGCAAACTATTTTTTTTTGTTAATCCTCACCAGAGGATATTTTTTTCCATTGATTTTTTTTTTTTTAGAAAGAGTAGAAGGGAGGGAGTGGGTAGAGAGAAAGAGAAAGAGAAAGAAAAGAAACATCGATGAGAGACAGAGAGAGACACATCGATTGGTTGCCTCCTGCACTCGAACCTGACTAGGGCTGGGGATGGAACCTGCAACCCAAGTAAGTGCCCTTGACCAGAAATCAAACCCGAGACCTATTGGTGCTCAGGCTGACGCTTTAATCACTAAGCAACACTGGCCAGGGCTGTAAACTACTAATATTTGAGGTCATTCAAAAAATAAAAACAAGCCAAAAAAACACCCTTTCAAAATAGCCCATAAAACATCCTCTGGGAGAAAAGTCAAGTCCTTGATGACTCACTCTGCATGTTGGAATGAGAAACGTAGCGACCATAGGACAGTGTCCCTGATGAGTACTGGAGGGGCATTCTGCTGCAGCGTTCTGCTCTGGCTTCAGCCAACAGTTGATGACCCCCCCCCCCCCAGTACAGGTGTCTTTTCTATCATAATTAAACTCAGCTCTTCCTTGTTTAAACCAAACAGCTCAAATTTCTCTGGCAGATTGCCAAGTACTGTTAGTTCATATGTACTGCTTAATTAATGGTATTCTTGTGTTTTTCCTCTCATTTTTGAAAACAATCACAGATGGGCAGTGCCCTCAGGGATTCAGGTGCCTGAAGTTGGCCTCACGGTGCTCTGTACTGACTTCCTTTCTCAAGTAAAGGGGTTAGACTTCTGAAGCACTGGAACAGTTGGCAGTTGCTGTGGACTTTCCTCAGCATAATCAATGTTGGCCTGCTGGTTAGGTACATGCAAGTTAATCTCATTTGATCTTGTCATTTCAAATATTTTAATGCAATTTATTCTTTAACTAGGTACATGTGAAGATTTCTTGGCAGTGTAGAGTGGAAACCACTGATCACCGTGCCCTCAGTTCTGTCTTTTCGGTGTTGGCAAGGGAGAGTGCCCAAATGAGCAAGATATCGCAGCAGAATAGTACTCCAGCAGTGAACGGAATAAGTGTTATCCATACTCCGGCTCATGCCAGCGGCTTACAGCAGGTTCCTCAGCTGGTGCCCGCTGGCCCTGGAGGAGGAGGTAAGGCTGTGCCTCCAAGCAAGCAAAGCAAAAAGAGTTCACCCATGGATCGGAACAGTGATGAGTATCGTCAGCGCAGAGAGAGGAACAACATGGCAGTGAAAAAGAGCCGGTTGAAAAGCAAGCAGAAAGCACAGGATACCCTGCAGAGAGTGAATCAGCTCAAAGAAGAGAATGAACGCTTGGAAGCAAAAATTAAATTGCTGACTAAGGAATTGAGTGTACTGAAGGATTTGTTTCTTGAGCATGCACACAACCTTGCAGACAACGTGCAACCCAGTAGCACTGAAAATATGACAAATTCTGATAATGCAGGACAGTAGACCGCACCCCTTCCAGACTTCACAGCTTGAGGCTTGAACATTAAAGGTGTGACGACCTACACCACTCATCAATGGCTGAACATTGTCTTGTTCCATTATTCAAAGATTCATTGAAGGTTCTCTAGGATCAGCACTGAAGAGTTGATTAACTAAAAATGTTAGCCATGTAATTTGAATTTCTGGTTTTAAATGATACTGGGATAAAGAAACAAGTTCTTAAGGTATATGGTAAAACAAAAAAGGTCCCAGATCTGGATGTTAATAAATCCTGATTTCTCAAGAAATGTTTAGTTTTTGGTTGACAAGAGGAATGAGGAACTGGCAGGTCATACAGAGGTTCTGGATTTTAATGGGAATTGTTGATTGGATTAAGAAAAGTTGAATGCTGTTTGTGTTCATCTTTGTGATTTTATTCTAAATTATGTATTAAAAACCCTTAGGGCTATAGAAACCAATCACTTTGTAATTTGGAGTGATGTTATGTATGGCATAAACCTTGGTTTAGCATAATTAGTACTGTTTCCCCAACATGTACTAGTTTTGAGTAGTGGTGTCAGGTTAAGGAAAGAAACCCCATTGTATTTTAAAGGCAGTATGCAGCCATTGGTTTAAAAACATAAACAACACTTAGAAAGCAAATGGATTTTTAAAAAATGAAAGTAAAGCATATTAGAATTATGCTTTTGGGATACCTTTGGGTTATTGGATTGGCATTTTTTAATCTTTAAAAACAAATAAACAAACAACTGAGTAGTTTAGAGCAACTTTTGTACCAAAATTTTAGTTTCTGCAGATACTAGCAAAGTAAGCATTAAAAAACAACAACAAAAAAAAACCCCACCAACTTGACAGCCAAATTAGTAAACAAAATGTCATAAGCTACTGATTAGGATTTGGAATATCAATTCAGCAGGTAGTTTCACCTGTGTTGAAATATCTGCCATGGGGCCATGAGTTTTAAAGGCAAAAACTTCTTATGAAGGATTATGTGGATTAATTACTTTAACCAAGTAATTATTAGAAAAATTCATCATCAGCTCCCAAAATAATAGTCTTAAGAAAACTTGAAAGTGTAAGACTTAACCTTTAATTTATTTCACTTATACATCTTTTTATATTTTTGTGATATTTCTTTTTCCTAGTTAGCTGTTCTTCCAGCCTTTTTGTACCACTGCTTCTGTTTAGTTATTTGTATGCTTTTATAGCCCATAAATTATTTTAGAAAATACTGATAAAACTCAGGATATCAACATTTTTATTGAGACTAAAAAAATGGCAATCATTAAAGTCAGGAATCTCTAGTCTGGTTTATATTAATGTTGGTAGTTTTGATTGTCCTTGTTGACTTTTTCTTTTTTTTAAGGCAGCACCATTCTAGCTAAAATTTGTTGGCTTTGTGGTTTTTTTCTTCTCTCTCTCTGTCTCTCTCTCTCTCTCTCTCTCTCTCTGTCTCTGTCTCTGTCTCTGTCTTGTGTGTGTGTGTGTGTGTGTGTGTGTGTATCCCTGGGCTGGTGATGAGACTGAGTCATGTCTGATTAAAATGTTTGTGTTACCAAGTATCTCATTTGAGCTTGGTTATTTTTGGCCACATTGCTGTTTCATACTAGGACCTGGGACAATGTAACCAGCATTATTGTACCCTTGGGTTGGTGAAAGAGTGCTTTGTGTGCTCCCCTCCTGGGCAGAGGACATCACGGTGCCCTGAAACTCAGCAAAGCCATTATGAAGGCCTTGAGCCCCTTCTGCAAGTTACAGGAGCCCACTTTCGTTCCATGAGAGCCACTGTCCCAGGAGGGTTAACTCCCTATAGAGCCAGGAGACAGAATATGGGGTTTCTGTTAGGGTCCAACACTAGTTTACCTTGATTGGAGTATTGATCTACTGGTAATAGGTGTTTTGGAGAATGAACTAGGAGATACCCACATGTCCTACTGAATCTTAATAGCTGATCAATATTAAATAATTAACCTAATTGGAGATGCAGTTAGGTCACTTGAATCTTTAAGCACCTATAATAGGTGTTACAGACATTTTAATCTCTTATTAAAAAAAAATCTTTCAGAAATTGATATCTCCATGGAATTAATGGTTACAAGTTATGTGAATTGACCTAACTCTCTTAGAAAAGAAGCTTTAGGGAAATCACCAGGAGTGTGTACTCAATATTTCAAATCAGAACATAAAATCGGAAATTTGGAAAAATGGATTCAAGCTTGTTACCTATGCAAAGTAAAACGTTAGCACAAGCGGTCCTTTGTACATAGGACACACATGGTAACCATTGTCTTGACTCTTACTGAAGTGTTTGGGAATGAGAGTTTCTAGTTTGATAGATTCATCAGTGGGAAATTGAGTATGGGGGATGGGCACTTTTAGAGCTTCGGAAACTCTACAGTGACGTTTGTAACTTGTTCTGTAGGTTACTTGTGACCGTCAGGCTCGCTCTGCCTTTGCTGGCAGGTACGGTTGTCTAGGAATTAGGCTTCAGTATGTAAATCTGTATAACTTTGTAGCGATGTCAGTCTCCCAGGATGGGTGCTTTCTGACCAAGAGCAGCTCTTCCTGGCGTCTGGCCCCTTTCAGTTTTAGGGGTGTGAGCGCAGATACTTTGGACATTCTTATTCAGAAGTAGTAAGATTTTAATAAAAGATGACCAGAACACGGTCACATGACCAGTCATGAGTGTGAAATTCTCAAGTTCACATAAAAAAGATGTACAGTTTAATATTTGATAATAAAGAACATTGTAGCAGTTTTTGATACTTCTTAATCCCCATTAGAGGGCTTGAAACTATGTACCTGAACAACCCAGTGAGCACTCAAGAGTGCTTTTTGATGCCTTAGAAATAGGACAGAGTCTTTTTGTTTGACAAAAGCTAGGAAGGAGAAAGTCCATTCTACAGCTGGTAGACCCACCTCTCAGGAAAAAGTCCTTAACTTGTTCTTTTTGTTTCTGGCTTTCCTCAGTGTGTGAGATTCTCTATTTTTTTAAATATAATTTTATTTCTTTCAGTGGATTTGAAATAAATAAAACCTTTGGAATAATGACTATTCCCTTGTGGTCTTCTTTATGTTAGATACAAGCAAGTGTCCAAATGTCAAACAACCGGGAAGAGCAGGCAGATGCCCTGCTGTCTCCTGTCGGTGCCTGGGGCGGGGGTGGGGCGGGGGCGGGGCTCAGGTGGGGGAGGGAGGGACAAGCCCGGTTGTCTGTCCCAAGTCTAGATTTCCCTCAATGGATAGGGACGTGATTTTTGTGAATATAAAGTGCTTCTTTAGTTGCATTCTTTATCACCTGGTCTAATCTAAAAGTGTGTATTAGAACAGAGAGCAATAACTGGGGTTCCTGCTTAGACACACTGTGTGGTTTGCATTTTTACAAAGTGGTAGGACATTTGTTCATTATATAGGACAGTGTCAAAGTGAAGCTTTTCCCTCAATGGTACAATTTATGGTGCATACATGGTCTTGATTTACATGTGCCATGGAGTGAATAGAAACAAATTCATAAATATTGAGTCCAAGAAGCTGGCTAGAGTGTTTCAAGGGGAAGATACATTTAGATCCTTTTTTTCTATGGTGCTTCAGTTATTTATGTCTTGGGAAATACCTACTTATTGCATCTCACTGAAAATAGTGCAGTAATGATTTCTATGGTTAGTATGTCCCATTTCATTTTTTCTTTTTATCCTCACCTGAGGACATTTTTCCATTTTTGTTCAGATAGAGTGGAAGGGAGAGAGGGAGAGAAACATCGACGTGAAAGGGACACATCGAGTGGCTGCCACCCGCACAACCCCAGCCGAGGCGGGGACAAACTGCAATCGAGGTACGTGCCCTTAGCGGGAACCGAACCCGGGTCTCTCTGGACCACAGGTCAACGCTCTAACCACTGAGCCAAACCAGCCAGGGCTGTCGCATTTCATTTTTATGAACTAGTTGTAATTTAGAATCCAGTATCTTGTCTTGGGGAATTTTATAGACATAATTTGAGAAGGCGCCAGCTCTTTATTGCTGAAAGCACTTCCAGAACTACTGCTCTCACTGCCGAGTAGCTGAAGAGTTCATAGGCATTTTACATACACTCAGAACACCAACCCTGAATATCCTTTTACCAGCAGCGTGCCCACTCCTCGCGGGCTCTAGGCCTCGACATCATGCAGACCTAGAGAATGTGAGGTGTAGATGATTTGAGAATGGAGTTGTTAGGGAGACAATCACGTTTCAACTTTTGCAACCTGAATACCCGTCTTGCCACTCCCTTCGGAGTAGCTGTCAGAGCCAGATGCCCTTCCACGCATCACCTTGCAGTTCTACCTCCTCTCGTGCACCTGTCTGCTTCCTCTCCCCTCCCCCACCTTCCACAGAGCCACCCTGCCCCCTGCCTAGACTGGTCTCCCTGGACCACTGCATGCTCTCCAGACCTCCGTTCCGCACTGCACACAGGGTGAGGCCCCACCTCCTGTGGTGCTGACTTGTTGCTTCCGTTCGTTCGCTGTCTCACATCCCTTGGCTCCGACGCAGGGCTTTCCCAAGCTCATTGTCCCAGGGCCACCGTAGGACAGCTTCCCTTCCGTCTGGCTACCCTCATCTCTTGCTTTTCACTCCACCCCTTCCTGTCCCAGCCCCCTGTGCTTTCCAGACAAGGTGAATCTCGTCACCTTCCTTCATGGGCCTTCGGACAGTTTATTTGTGCATGTGTGTTTAAGGTGACCACTGGCTCTGAGAGCAGGGAGCATTGTTTTTAAACTTTACTGATTTTATTGAGAGGGAGAAAGAAACATGGATCTGTTGTTCCACTTATTTATGCACTCATCGGTTGCTTCAGGGATCGAACCCACAACCATGGCATATTGGGATGCCAATTTAGCCAAATGACCTACCCGACCAGGGCCAGAAAGCATGCTTTCATCACACACTGGTGCATAGGAGATAGGCTACTATTTCTTTCTTTTTTTTTTTTTTTATCCTCACCCGAGGACATTTTTTCCACTTTTTGTTCAGGCAGAGTGGGAGAGAGAGGAACAGAGAGAGAGAGAGAAACATCGATGTGAAAGGAACACATCGAGTGGCTGCCACCCGCACAACCGACCAGGGCCGGGGACAAACTGCAACCGAGGTACGCGCCCTTAGCGGGAACCGAACCCGGGTCTCTCAGGACTGCAGGCCGACGCTCTAACCACTGAGCCAAACCGGCCAGGGCATATTTCTTGAATGAATATACCCTTCCATGATTGGGGAAGGCATTTAGTGCAGTACGACTTTCTGGAAGGGTCTGTAGTGTATTTCTTAAGTTGTACATATTTCTGCAGTGATTGCAGGAGGCGTGGGAATTGGCTTACCCACTTCAGAATGTGGGGTAGAGCAGGTGGCTACTGCTGGCCATGAAAACAGCACCTTCACAGAACACCCTCTGACTCACCAGCCTGGGCCAACCCAGGGCCACGTCCCTGTTCCCCGTGTCTCTCCTGCACAAAGCACTGAGTTTCTGCGATTTCTCCTTGTTCTCTTTTGACTACTTGCTTACTAAGAGAGAAAACATTTATATGAAGTGAGCAGTTTTGGTATTATGTCTAAAGGAGAAAGATGTATGAATCTCTCAGCTATGTGTTTTTTATTAAAAAAATTTTTTTTTTCTTTGTTGATTTTAGAGAGAGAGGAAGGGAGAGGGAGAGATAGAAACATCAATGAGAGAGAACATCAACTGCCGCCTCCCACACGCCCCCCACTGGCGATCGGGCCCACAACCTGGGCACGTGCCCTGACCAGGAATCGAACTGGTGACCTCTTGGTGCTCAACCACTGAACCACACCTGCCAGGCTCATCTGTTTTTTAATTAACAAAATTAGAGTTTTAACCTAACTTCAATTGGTTTTATCCTGGGGGTGGGGAAAATGAAACCCTACACACCAGAATGTGTCTGTCGTAGGCACGGCTGGGGTAGAGAAACACGGGGCACACTCAAACTCCTGACGCTCAGAAAGGCAATTGCTACTGAACCTGCTCAGTGTCACGAGTAACTTATGGAATATATCTATGGACTGGCAGAACACCTGAAGAATTGGATGTTATAAATTTTTTTTTTAATTGATTTTAGAGAGAGGAAAGGAGAGAGAGAGATAGAAACATCGATGAGATAGAACATCAACTGGCCGCCTCCTGCATGCCCCCCATTGGGGATCGGGCCCACAACCTGGGCATGTGCCCTGACCGGGAATCGAACTGTCAACCTCTTGGTTCATGGGTCGACGCTCAACCACTGAGCCACACCGGCTGGGCTGGATGTTACAATTATAAGGAACAAGATAAGTGGTTTCCTGGCACTGAGACTGGCCACTTCACAGGCACTTCTGTGTCACTGCCACCAGAAGAAATGTATTTGTATTCAACTCTTCAGTGACTTCTCAAAACGTCTCTAGCTTGGGCTACACTTTCCCACTGCATCACGGTTCCATCGCTGATGTCTTTTCTCACTTGCCCTTCACTTGGCTTGGAAACTCCTGGACAACAGCCCTGAGCAGACAAACCTGGAATGGTGCACAGAGCTCTCGAAGCTGGCTCCAGGGGGTGGGCAGCTCTGTGGGACCATGGGAGAACTGGGCAAGCGGAGGCAGGGACAGGGACTCTGCCACTGGCAGGGACCATGCCCAGCGGGCCTCGGATGGCTCACAGCCTCACGGTAGCATCTGGTCCATGAGCTCCCACTTATGGAACACAGATCATTTCAGCAAAGACGGAAGGAACGAGAAAGCTCACCTTGGCCATGGTGGCAGCCTTTGTCCCCTGTCCCCTGTCAGAGGCTGGCTTTGCTAGATGTCCCGCATGAAAGGGACATCAAGGACAGGAATCTCTGCAAGTCTTATGTTTTATTTTATTTATTATCCTCACCCAGGACTTTTTTCCATTCTTTATTCAGACAGAGCGGGAGGGAGAGAGAGGAAGAGAGAGAGAGAAACATTGACGTGAAAGGGACACATCGAGTGGCTGCCACCCGCACGACCCAACCAGGGTCGGGGACAAACTGCAACCAGAGTACATGCCCTTAGCGGGAACTGAACCCGGGTCTCTCTGAACCGCAGGCCAATGCTCTAACTGCTGAGCCAAACCAGCCAGGGCAAGTCTTATGTTTTAAATAACTGTGCCTTACTGCTCCATAATTCTGCCGCTTCGGAAATCTAGTTTTGCAGCAGTAACCATATCAAAAAAAGCTTCTTATGCTATGGTTCACCTTTCGGCGTGTGCAAAGGTGCGGTGTGGGACAGCTCTGTGTGTGCCTGACTTGACCCCAGGGTTTCTGTGCCCGGGCCTAAGTGTGAAGGGATAAAGGACAGAGAGAGACGTGCTCAGGAGACTGTTTTAGCAAAATTTTAATTGCAAATTCCGTTCTATGCATTGATTTTTTGAGAAAAAACATTGGAAATCTACCTTTCCTGAACATAAGAACACAAATGACAGCAAGACACATTTTAGTGGCTACTGAGGAACAAGATTTTTTTGCAATTAGTGTTTTAAAAGCCATTGTCATTTAAGCAAAAAGTATTAATAGATTAGGGTGTGATCTTATAAAAAGTTAATAAAAGTCCCCCCAGGACACAGCACTATTTGGTGTGATCAGACTTCGACGCCGGCACGTGATTTCTGAGCTCCACTTCCTGGGGCTGGACGGCCAGTCGGCAGGCTGCCCACAGGGCGCTCCCAGCTGCCTCTACGTGGGGCCCGGGAAGGAAGTAAAGGCCTTGTCACAGCCTGCCATGCATGCTTCTATGTCCTCCACCGTGCGGGGCACACAGGTCAGCAGCTCGGTGCCACTGTCGGTCACCACGACGTCCTCCTCGATGCGGACCTGGGTCAGACCAGTGGAGTCAGTATCTGAGCTGGCCTCATCCTCACCATTAGACGGCCAGACTTGACAGACAGCTCCAGGCTGACCCCGAGTGGGGCAGGCCTCTGGGCGACTGCTGGGAGGAGGGCTCGTCCCATGGGGCCGTGTGCTCAAGCCACCTGCCACCCTGCAGG